GAGGGGCTTGTCCCGGCAGCGAGCCCTCGCGTGCAATTCTGTCCTCATCCTGGAGCCAGTCCTCAAGGGGATGAGGAGACCCGAGGCCCTTTCACTGAGCTCTGGGGGTGGCGAAGGCAGAGGTGCGCCGTGACTTTCTGACCCAGAACTTCTATTACACTTACCTTTCATTGCCATGAGCTGGGGTTTATTATGCTTTCTTTTCATTGCCATGAGCTGGGTTTCCTCCCCCCACCACCACCACCACTCCCTGTGATCTGGCTACTTCATCCCACAAACACAAATTCTGTCTTGTGTCTGGCACCTGCCTGCTCGCCCCATCCCGCTGGCCGCTGCGTTTCCCGTTAGGACATCGACGTGCTTCAGCAGCTCCTTGCTTTTCAGTTTTTGTGTTGGCGTCCTCATCTCCGTACGGTGGCCTCTTGTACTCCTTCATGCCATCAAGAAAAAGCCATCTCCTAACCTCTGCTCGCTCTCAGAAATGAGCTGTAACTTTTTATTCCTTTTAGACGTGGTTTTTTTTTTTCTAGGGAGCATATTATAAAGCAAGTCTGAAAACAAAAAAGATGCACTGATGGTTTAAAAGCTGCAGGTATGTGTGCAGTGACAGTGAATGAGGTAGTGCTGCAAAATGTGAACCCTCATCTCCGGTGCCCTAAAGTAATGTTGATTGGAAATAAAAGGAACTCGTGAGTTTTGCCTGAGGTTCCTATCTTTAGCATAAATGTTTTTGAGTTTGAAATTGAGTGTCAGTAATTTCTTCTACAGCTTTGCTTTGGCAAATGCAAAACTCTCTCTGCTGTTCAGTCTTTCCTGGGTCAGCCAGAACACACTCCGGTCCTTTAACTCCTCCCCTTTTGGGGAAAAAGAAACTAATCCTTCACTTGAGTTTCACTTCAACTTCTTATCCATCTTCTTAGAATATAAATAGGCAGATAAAGCTGTCTAATTCATATACTTTTAAAGGCGTTTAAACTTTAATTTTTTTTATAAGCATTAAGTTCTTAACATAACCTCCCTTTAAAAAAAAATTTTTGCGCAGCGTAGTATTCCAAACGCTCGTGACTTCCCGCAAAAATACGCGCTCTGTCCTTTGCAAACAAAATCAAGGTGTCGGTGCAGCAGATGGATGTGCTCATGCACGTCTCTGCATCTTCGTGGAGTTTGCTGCGGGGAGCGTAGCTAGGCCTGAGCTGTGCACGTAGATCTGGAAAGGTCGCGGGTATTTCAGGCGGAATAGTTGTAACGCTTCAAGGAAGAGGCCGGGATTTTGTTTGAAGTGAATTGCATTGTTTGAGGGCACGCTGTCCGTTTTCTTTTGTACGTGGCTGGAGTTCCGGTTTTGTGCACAAGTTTTAATGCCTCTAGACCATTCAGATGATTCTTTTTGAATGTGTTTGTTCTTCATATGTGTTTTTTTTTTTCTTAGAGCAACTTCTGGATTGTGACAACTGTAAAAGCAAGGACCGTTTTTTCACTCCAGTGAGTGGACTTTTCGAACTTTGCCTTACAAGGGACGATGTTATCCTGAGACTTACAGCCCGTGGAATATTGTTCTGCATTTTTAAAGAGGAGTTCCTCCTTCAGTGAGGAATGTGTAGTCCCCTCTGCCTGACAGTGCCTGAAAATTTTTTAAGCGCAGTGAGCATGAGTACAAAAAGAAACAGTAAATCTTCTGCTAGCCATTTGTGCCTTTACAACCTGCCAAAGGCATGAATCGGTTTCCAAAACTAGTTCCTACTTCTGCTTATATGACACTAATTCTCATTCTTCTCCCCTCAGATGTATACCTAGATGGTATACTTCGTTGCTGCAGCTGCTAATGTCTTTATTCAAAACTGAGGTTAGAGTTTTTTTTATTCTTTTCACTACACACTTTCAAAACCAACCTAAAATTCTACATTTATCTTTGCATCTCACCTGTATCCCTGCAAATACTCCGTATTCGGGGTCTGAAATTCCTGCGGCTGTGTCTTTGCAGCTCTTTTGCATTGCGGTGCTTTTAGCTTCTAGGAGCAAGCGTTGAAAATCTTGGCGTTTGTGCTTATTTTAAAAAGGTTATCTCTTAGCCTGCTGTAGCGTATGGGGTCCATGTTGCGCTGCTCAGAGCCACATTTTAGTAATAAGCCCTGTAGTTCTGCGTCCTCCTAACTCCATCAACAAAAGGTTTTGATCGCCCTTCTAGTATTCAATTGTCTTTCTCATTCCTGTGTCTTGTTCACAATCCACGCGTTCTTTCATCCCTTTCGGTTGCAGCTGGTTCACAGTTTCCAGCCAAATATTGTTTGCGTTACCCTCTCCTGGCTTTGTTCTCTGCTTTCCTCATGCTCTTTGCATGTTCTGACTGATGCGTTGCAGCTTTGGAGGGAGAAACCCACTTGGATTGCCTACCAGTATTGTGAGAAATAAGGGGGGTTGATTTATGTGTACAAGTTTCGGTCTTGCAGTTTAGTTTCTCTTTTCTAACCTGGAAAGAAAAGGAAGGTTATGTTTCTGTGTGGCTTAAATAGAAGTTTATAGAGACCCAGGAACAACACCTGCTTGGAGGGAGGGCTGAGTTTTGCTTTCTTTGCTTCCCCATCTTATTCTCTTTAATGCTGTGCTCCAGAACGCCTTTCTGCCTGGACCTAGCTTCCTTCTAGACAAGCCTTGCAGCACCTTGCACCGCGGTATTGCATCTGGCTCTGTGTCTGCGCTTACTCTTCAGCAAACCACTTCTTTTTCAAAATATGGAGCCGGTCTACCGTTAGCCTGTCCCACTTGACTGTGTTAAAAGATATTATTTCAGAACGTTAAGAATATCTGGAAATTGATTCTTCTGTAATTGGGAACAAAATTTTCATTAATTCCACAGTATCGGAGTTTCATCCTTGGAGTTCAAAAGTTATAGTCAAAAGCATCCATGAATTTCAAAGTGCTAAATCCCAGTCTCTGCTTACATCTTCAACAAAAGAATAATATTGATCTGTTCTGGCGGAACGTATTTCTTAGTCTTGTGTCTGCAGCCACTTTTTTTCCAAATGTTAGCTGTGTAGCAAAGCTTTTTATAGTTGTGTGCATTTCTGCAGTCTGGGTAGATTCTGGGGATGGACGGCAGCTCTAATCCCATATGGGCCATGTGGCTGTGGGAAGTTCTGCCACCTATTTTGGTCTGTGTTGTCATTTATAAGGTGGAAATGTGTTGCAATGTAGACAGGCATTATTTTAGGTCATCACAAGTTATTACATTTAAAAACCAACTTGAGCTATATTTAATTCCTGTCACCGAAGTATGGGGGACTCATAGTGTGTAAATGTGTATTTAAAATGTAATTTTAAAAACTTCTGCGTTGTTGACCTCCTCCTGTGGATAAAGCTTTGATCTTCCAAATGCTGTGCATGCTTCATAAATTTTAAGTATTAGCAATCAACAGGGCTGCTGAATGGATGACTTGATTACAACAAGGTGTTAAAGAAATCTAATCCAGTTCCTGCCTCAATAGTTAATGAAGTGGTGATCTGTGTTCACTGTTCACTAGAAAGTGGTTTTGGGTTTTGTGTTCCTCTGGGCAAACGAGTTTAGGAACTATCAAATGAAGTTAAAAAATAACTTGGGAGAGCATTTGCTGCTTCTTTCTTCTAAGTTTCCTAAAACGCTTATTTTGCAAGGGTGTGCACATCTTATCTCTGTTTCACAAAGCCCCTGCTCTTGCTGTGAGCTGGTGTTGAAGGCTCTGAGGGCACTGTGCTTCGCCTTGGGTGGGTCCTTTTATTCATGAGCGGTCTTGTTCGTTTTGGTGGTTCTGCCCTGACAAAACACTTCCAAGCGCTTTCATGATTTGGGACAAGATGGTTCAGCACTTGGCAAGATTAAACCTGTCTGTGTTGCTTGTGAAGTGTAATAAAATCTCTTATCATTGAGGTAATCCACTGTTAAAAAATAATATACTTCACTTAAAATGCATTTTAAATTAAGTCATACTTGCAACTTCTATTTCTGTGAAGTTCAGAGGAAGAAATGAAGCTGTTCTTTGTGATTTCTGTCTAAATGCTACATTTGGAATGAATCCAGCACATCTGTGTAGCGAGGAGAACCTGGCACCTAATTGTCAGGTGGACATGGCACCACAGGTTTTTCTCTATAGCAATTTGAATTGCCAATAAAATCAAGTGAATTCATCTGTAACTGGTTAAATCTGTCACTTGGCAACTAATAGGGGTCATGTCAGTCACTGCTGTGGGTATTCTCATTTCGTATATATTTTTGTATTTTATTAGTGAAGTTTGGTTTCAAAATGTTTCAACTAAATGCCTTTTATTTGTAGGAACAAAGATCAAATTCATCACCGCTGTCTCAGAGGCATTTTCAGGTAGGATGGACATAAAGTTTGGTTATGTGGAGAGAGGAGGAGTAATGATGATGATGATGATTGGAACGGAAGTCCAATAAAATAAATATCTCATGTGACCATGTGGCTCTATTATTGTCCACTGTCGAGATCAGCATGGTGATAAACCAGCAAGGCTGCTCTTGAGCATGAAGCAGAGTCGATGAAAACTTTATTTCAGTAATGTCTGCAGGGAATGGGAATCTTGAACTTAAGGGATATTTCTGCATGTTAAATTCTACAATTTTAAAGTCTGATCTCTGTCTTGACGAGGGTATGTAGTGACTTGGAGACAGACAGGCAGGCAGGGCTTAGTTTGTCTTGTTTTAAAACCTTCGAGTTAAGGAAGCAAATGACATTTTACTACTCAGGATTTCCAGCTAGTTTTGACCATTTCTGTAGGAAAACCCAACTGGGATAAAAGATCTGCATAAAACATGAAGGCCTTGATTAATAAGACTAGAAAGAAAAATAAATGTTTTGGTTAAAGGAGATGGCGTGAACTTCTCTTAGTCCAAAGTTGGCTTCAGGAGTGCAGAGAAACACCTGCAGTAACAAGCTGGCTGGTTTTTGGGGGTGCTGGGAGAGCAGGGTGGAGGGCACAGGAGAGCGATAGGCAGGAGAACATGTGTGAGAGATGCTGAATTCAATCAGTGGGTTATTTTTTTTTTTTTTTCAGTAGACAGCTTTATTCTGGATCTCTGATCTGGCTCTTTTCTCTAGTTCTCAGGCAGGCGCAACTGGAATGCAGCAAAAGACTTGCAGAGATACAGACATCATTACCCGGTACGGACTAAATAATGATGCGCATGCTCTTGTGGCTCTTCCTCATCACACACTAAGTTTAGGAATGCTTTCTGGAGTTGAGGGCACCCTTTTGTCTTTATATTGACAGGCTTAGAACCTTTAAAGGATTCATCTGTGAAGGAGAAGGGATGATGTGCATGTGGGTGCATCAGAAACAAGCTGTTACTTCCCAAAACACATTTCAAGGATTTAGCTTGAAATGTTTAGGAAATGTGAGGGAGAGCAAGGAGAAGTGTTGAAGTGAATACTGCCTTTTAAAAGATTGCTGCTTGTTGATTTCTTGTTCTCATCTCCAGGATTTGGTAGAATCAGAAAATCAGGAGGAAGAAGAGATGTGGAACTTAAGCTTTTATAAAAATGAGATCCGTTTTTTGCCCCAGGGTGAGTACCTTGTGTGGTGACTGTTCGGTGCAACTTTGCTGCAGCTGGTTGAATTGGTGAAAGAGGAGCTTGATCCATGTGGGACAATTATAAAGAAAAAACAAACCAGACAAATAAAACCCATCACCAAAATGAAACAAAAAAGAACCCCGAACAAACAAAAAATCCACCAAGCATTTCCATTTTAAAATGTCCTTATTCCTGCCGTATGTTCTTTAATTTTCCGTTTGGTGGTAGGAAAGTAAGGGTTTTTTCTGGCTTACCAGGCTGGTTGTCTAGTTAGAGAAGCTAATGCCTGTATGCGAACACCTGGCTCTGGATGAGCCACCTTGGGTGACTGGCTAACTTTAATTTTCATTTGGTGTCATTTCTTCTTGCCTGACTTTCTCCTTTTCTTTTCAGGTTTGCATATTGAAACTCTGCTTGAATCTTGGTGGGACAACTATGAAGTTCTGGAAGAAAACCATTCTTACATACAGTGGTAAAGTGTCTGCAGGAATATAGTGCCTCTCTTTAGTTGTGCCTCCTAAAAGAGTCAGTTGTGTCTGTGCTCCCTTCCCAAAAGGCCCAGAATGACTCCTGAGTGAAACCTGTGTCCACTTTATTGAGCTACATTCTTCTAGAAATAATGCAGTGGAAATGCTGAAGACACAGGGTTCCGGTGCAGCTGTGGCAATAGATCTCGGTCACGCTTGGTCTTACGGCATACTGCAGAAAAGAGTATTAGGGCAACGAGAGAGATCCAGATAAGCCAAGTATGTTGTTATCATTGCCGCGGATAATGCTTTTATGGAAGGGATTTATTTGTCGTATAGTAAACTGCTTGTCTGTCCATAAGGATGTGAGGAAGAGATGCCTGTGATATCACAATTTTTGGAATCTTTTTTGTTTTAACAAAATAAGTACCCTGAGTTAGATGTCATCTTTGCTCATCTGGGCTGAAAATTTCTTTCCCTTCAGGCTATTCCCTTTACGTGAACATGGGATGAACTGGCGTGCCAAGCCACTCACGTGTCAAGAAATCCAGGTATTGAAAGCTTTTGTCTTTTTTTCTTTTTTTTTTTTTTTAAAGACCTGAAGGATGTTAGGATTTTCCCTAAATGCCTTATATGTGAAGTCTAGTTTTTTTCACATTGCTTCCTTGGGGCCCTAGTGTGAACAGAGCTCACTCAAGCACTGTTAAGCATTTGTCTGTCTTGTGTCTGCCAGTAGCTACACCAGCAAATGAGATGTTTAGTGATATAATCAAGCCTTGTTTATAATTCAGGTGCCACTTAAACTGGTGCAGGTAATTAGGGAGTTGCACCTTGTATTCATTGGTCTGTCTTGTTTTCAGGCCTTTAGGAAGTCCAAGGAAGTTATGCAGAGGTTTAGACGTGCTTATCAGCTCATGCTGAGATTTTATGGAATCACTCTGATCAACGAGGAAACTGGAGAACTTACGAGAGCAGAGAATTGGGCTGAACGATTTCAAAACTTGAACTGGTGAGTCTCTGTTAATACTGCTGGTCATTTACTGCTGGCCAGGCACTTCTTTGAGAAGAAAAAAAAAGTCAAAGTCAAGAAAATCCTCAGCCCTTGAGGAATGGAGGCTTTTGTTGATAAAGAAGTTAGCTACCTAAGTATTTTTAACTTGGCTCAGCCTCCGACTGTAGGTCATCACACTGTCTGTCACTTTAATAGGTGACAATATAATAAATAAGTAAACCAGCTGAGACTGGTTTTCTTTTGTATCTGGTACAGCTGTTAGCAGCAGGCATTCTTCATGTTGGTCTCCTGAAGTACGAAATACAGACTTGGAGATGTTAAAGAGCTTGTGTTTAAAACCGTATTTTAAGCAGGAATCGCTGCAACATTTTCACAGGTAGCCAGGTTGCCTTTGTAGTATTCTGTTAAACTACAAAATAGGAGTGTTTCCATATGCTTCCCTGATTGTTTATAAAGCTGCCTTAATGTGTGTAAAATGCTTTGAATCCTTGGTTGAAAAGTGCTCTGCAAATTGATGGCAATGTTTTTATATTATTGCAGGTCTTACCACAGAGATAGTAGTGACCCTTCATATTCCAGTACCCATAATGGTATTAACAAGGGCTCTAAATGGACTGGGCATACTCACAAAAGAAAAACCAACTTGAAGACTGTCAAGTGTAAAAACAAACAACCAAAAAAGCTGTGTCTAGCCTAAGTCCCTAAGGCATGAATTTCCAGCAGCATCCTTACATACCTGTATTTTTACACTTCTCTACAGGCTTACCATGCAGGGACACTGTCAGAGACATCAGGGACAAGATATTGGACTGCGTGGACTTGTGTGTCTGACCCAATATCGTGTCTGTTCATCACCCACCTACTGGTGGGTGATGCAGAAAGCCAGAACCTTTCCAAGCAGTTGAGATGATTAATCCAAGCAGTCTAAGAAGGGCTAGGGAGGTACGGCTAAAGGCAGACAGCAGCAGTAGGTGCTTTAAAAGTAAGCCTGCCTATACTCCCATCTGCATTGTCAAACGGTCTTTAATAGATCAAATGGATCACAGTCAATAACTGTGATGCACAAAACATTTGGCAGGTACCCTGGGTGTTCGTTGTGACTTCAAACTTGGACTTCAAGCTTGGACTGCAAGCTTTTTTATTAGGAAAAATTTCTTCACGGAAGGGGTAGTCAAGCATTGGAACAGGCTGCCCCTGGAGGTGGTGGAGTCACCATCCCTGGAAGATTTCAAAAAACGGGCAGACATGGCACTTTGGGACATGGTTTAGTGGGCATGGTGGTGTTGGGTTGATGATTGGACTGATGATCTTAGAGATCCTTTCTAATCTTAATGATTCCTAGTTTTTACTTTCATTATAAATGATCCAGCCACCAAGCCAGGAGGCATGGGGTTGCTACTTTACCTTTAATTGGTTTAGTGGAGGACTTGGTTATGTTAGGTTAATGGCTGGACTGGATGATCTTAAAGGTCTTTTCCAACCTAAACGATTCTATGATTCTATGACTCACTTAACAGCATTGCTTATCTGTTTATTTCAGGTTTAGCCACAACAATTTGCGGATTACACGCATCCTGAAGTGCCTGGGGGAGATGGGATACGAACACTATCAAGTGCACTTGGTAAAGTTTTTCCTAACAGAAACTCTTGTTAAGGAGACATTGCCAAATGTCAAGAGAAGTGCCTTGGATTACTTCCTGTTCACCATCAGAAGCAAACAGAAGAGAAGAGAACTAGTCCACTACGCTTGGCAACACTTCAAACCTCGAGGCAGCTTTGTATGGGGACCGCACGAGAAACTCTTGAAGTACAGAGCGCGCTCTACCGAGTCACAGCTGCACAAAAAGGATGAAGATAAACAGGAAACTCCTGGTAAACAATGTGATGATTCTGTGGAAAAGGATCAGAACCGGTCGTCAGAGGAAGAACAGAAAGCTGGAGATGCTGCAGACATGCAGCCTAAAGTGAATGATGAGGATGTAAAAGAGAAGTTAAGTGAATGCGTTTTGAAGGGAGGGGATGGTGAAGAGGAGAAAGAGGCTTCCTTTACCCAGCAGGAGAAGGATTTAAACAGTGAGACTGAAGAAGTGCAGGGTACGGCAGAAAATGATTGCACAAAGGAGAGCAAGAAGAGAAAACTGGATGCAAATATGGCAGACGCTAAACAGAGTGGACCGTTGAAAAGCCCTACTGATATTGAAAACATTTCCCGTAATCTGGGAGAATGTGCAATTGATGCAGAAATCCCCTCCTCGGTTCCACTCCTAAAAGCAGAAGAGGACCAGGAACCACTGAAAGAAAACGATGCAAGCAGCAAAGACTTAACAGTGCCAGAGACCACTGATGCAGCTGTAAAACGGAGGAAAGTTGATAAAAGAACATCGAAAACCAAAACATACAACTTGGCCATAAACCTGAACATGGGGCCCCCTGCCTCTAGTGCCAAGATAAATCCATCTGTTGCAAACACTGAGACTGAAAAAGAAAACGTCAGTGAGAAGAATGCAACCGTGGAAGCGACAAGCGAGAAGAGTTGTGGTGATGCAAATGGTGGGGCTGTGAGACCCCCAGTTGGTTTTGGGCTCCCCAAGACTGGCGGCACTTCTCCAGTAAGTGATGGTTTGGGGTCGAGTGGCGATCAAGTCACAGCAAGGAGCGCTCAGCACCACTGCAACAGCACGCTCCTGGGAGGCAAAAGTGAGGTAGATGGGGTAGAACAGCATAAAAAGGCAGAAGACGCAAGTGAAAAAGGGCAAGCAGAAGTTACAGGCAAGAAACAAGTTCCAGAGAGTCTTGAGGAGAGCGTGGCATCCGCTTGTCCTGAAGAAGACAGTGCTGAGGTTGCAACACAAAAACCTGAAAGCTCTGAGCATGCAGCAGAACCTGACGAAGAGCAGGTAGCAGCAAAGTGAGACCAGCACAGCAAGGACTCGAGCACGCGGAGATGACGCTGCCCTAACTGCTAGGAGCCAGCTTTAGTGATTGGGATAGCAAAAGTACACGGAAGAATAAACTTCCTTTGGGCTGATCCAGGCTAGCCCCTGTCTGACTTTCACCCTCCCACACTTTTTTAGTCATCTGTAGTAACTTCACTGAGATCCAGCCCTTGGTTACCCTAAGGAGGAAACTCTAATTTAGGCGTCTTCACAGACAGGCTGTGTCCTGTTCCTGTTTTTTATCTGATGTTCGGGACTATCTTGGAGTAACAGGGATTTTTGCACTTTGCTTTGGTTCTGGTATGTCCCCTCTTAAAGAGAAGAGGAAATCTAATGTTTCCTTGTTTGAACTAGTCAACTATTTATTAAATACATGATTTTTAATGTAAGACAGCATGACCTAATTTGCCAGGCCTTTCTATTACCGTGTAACTTCTATTTGTTATTTTGAAAGGCTGTACCTTCCCAGGAGATTTATTCCTGGCAAAGTTGCTGTGTGTCTGCTTCCTAGGTCATAAATGATTATTTTTGTGGCATTTGCCTGAAAGAGATGAGTATATGCGTTTCGCGTCATGTAAGAGTGTAGCTGCCTCTCCTCCTACAAAGAAGGTAGGTTTGACTTTAGACTGGGATGAAATGCGTAGTCGGAACGTATCGCTGGCCAGTGCTAACCTTTGTGTGCAGCTACTGTTCTCTAGGGTGCAAAGAGCTGATGAATCGGTTCCATGTATCCCCTGCAGAAGTTGCTTTGTGTAGTGCTTGCTAGAATTGAGAATATGAATCGTCTACTGGTTTCCAAGAGAAAAGCGCTCAGGCTTAGCATAAAGCTGTCTAGAGCTCTTCTTCCCCAGGTTTTTCCATCGCTTTCAGACCCTTGATAGTCTTCCACAGATATTTCTGTCCACCACTGGTTCCAGGGCCTGCCTTCCTCAGTTGCCAAAATGGAACAAGTATTGGTCATTGCATCTTTTCAGACTCTGCCGTTAATCTGCAGTTGCCTGTGGGGCTGGCTTTTCTGCAGGCCCATCGCATGAAGTTAGATGTGTCAAATTTAACCCACTTCCCAGTTAGGGCAGGCCTGTTTTACCATTAATGGTCAGCGTGTCAGACGGTGAGGGCACGTTAGAGTGCAACGTGTCTGGAAACCACTGGGCTTTGTGGAGCAGTTAATTGAAACTAATTGGAGGGGGTACGCTTGTCTGGTTCATTTATCTACAGCCCTCAAGAATTTACTTTCAGACCTTGCCAGCTATTTGCTTGCCTTAATGTTCCTGACCTCCCTGTTAGCTATTCTGCCTGACTGATACGGTATTCAACCAAGTCTGAAGGAGCATTAAACAATTTAGCCCTTTCGTTCCTAGAGATTTACAACAGAGGACCTGTTTCATGAAGCGGAGGAAACCGTTTCCAACAGCCAGAAGGTCTGGACTTGCTGTTTGCTCAGAGTGTTTGTTTTGGTTTGTTTTAGTTTTGGGGTTTTTAGGTCCTGTTTGTTTTGTGTAGGAGATGGCTAGAGGCTTGCCCACCTTGCCAGAGAGCAGATGCATTAGCCTGTGCAATGTTAATGTTTTTCCTCTCTCTGCTACAGCTCTTAAGAAGCTTCATCTTTCAAGGAATTTGATCGGTGACTTGCCTTCCCAGACTGTAGGTCCTGATCGAGCATGCCACATACATGTGTGTGGGAATAAAAGTCTGCAAGTTTAACATCTGATGTTCATGGTCACACATGTGCTGGAAAAAGGCTTTAATGTTTTTAAAATACTACTTTTTTTTTTTCCCTTATTAACAAATGGAGTTAAATAGCCGATTAGAACACACTGAACTGCAGATACAAATACTTGAAGATGTTGAGTGAAAATTCTTTTATGAAAGATTCATAAGAAATTGTTAATTGTGGCTTTTGTACAGATTTATAGTAATTTTCTTATTTAATGAAGTTTTCATTGTGAATATGTGCTCAGTTGGGACAGAGATCATATATCTTGTTACAGTGATCTGTGGTTTGTTTTTGTGTTTAAGAGGATTTCACTGTGAGCCCTAGCGTGGAGAGCTCAAACCAAACCGTTCCCCGTCACCATCAGGTTTAGAGTTTTGGCTGTAGGTGTTTGCAGTGAGTTCGCAGGACGTTTTCCAGCACTCGGAGCTGTATCACAGAGCCTGTCACATTAATGTCACCTATTAAAGCATGACTTTAATGCATACCAGTTTCCACTTACGGGGTTTTTTTTATCTTTGAGGGCAGGACATGACCTTATACCTGCCCCAGCACTACCACACCCTGTACCCATCTGCCGTTGCTTGGGCACCTCCAGCGCGTGGGTGCGTGGGGCTGTCCAGCGTTCCCAAGCGGAGGTGTGGTGGGCTCACCATGAGACACACCTGCTGCCTCTTCCATCTGGAGATGACGCTCAGTCTTCCTCCACCGCTGTAAAAGGTGGCCGGTGAATGTTTGTGGGGAAAAGACACCCGCCCACATGCTTCTTGTTTAATGATGTGCTTTGAAATGTTTCAGTGTGCCCGGTCTTGGCTTTGTGCTGCCATCCTCCCAAGCGTGTCTTGTGATGCTCTGTAGAGCAAAGCAGGACTTTGCTTTTGAGCAGCTTTTGGGGCTCGCAGGCAGGAGGGCAGCTGCCCGGCCTGCACACGGGGGCTAAACTAGCGGGCCTTTTCCTTCAGGGCACAAGCACAGGGGTGTCTTTGTGGTGGTGATTTCTGTAAGATGCTGCATCCCTTCAGCTCTGCTCCCGCTGCCTGGGGACGTGGAAGGAGAGGAGGACCGGCCCTCCTCCTGTTCTCTGGGGGGGCTTGCAGGTGAATACCCCAGGGCTCTTCCCTTGCTGGCCATGAGCAGGCTCCGCTCGCAGCAGCCCTCCAGTCCCCGGCGTGCTACGAGCCGCGCGTGGCCGAGGAATTTGGATGTGCTTTGCCTTCTCTCTGGCCACCAGTTTCCTCAGTGCGAAGGAGGAGGTACAAGCTCTGCGCGAAGCAGTTCGGGTGACTGCGCTGCTCTCCCTCTGCGGGGTTTGTGGTGTCTAATAAAGCATTCAATTTACTTTGCAGCCATCCAGAGGCATACAGATGCACGCTCCCTTTCTGTCCCCAGTTGCCTGTTCTGCAAAATCTCATAGCAGCTTAGTAAATCTTTGAGCCTTTTATCCCTCTGTCAAGGTTGGTGGAATATTGGCTGCTGGGGAGCTGGACAGGCACACGCTGTGTGCTCATATAAACCTCCTGGCGCAAGGATGCCAAACTGAAATCTGATATTTAATTTTTTAAGCTTTGCTTTTCCACTTCTGCTCTCCTCTTGCTAACCAAATGAGCTGTGTCATTTCAGTCCCGATGAATCTTGCCACTGTTCCTCTCCACTTCCAAGCCCTGCTTTGGATGAAATTGTCTTTAATCGATAAAGGGAAGCATGAAGCTATTTGCAGGAGATGCATCTTCGTGAATATATTGCCATTTGGGATCACCTAGCTGGGGACTGTCATCCCGTTCCTTCCTTGCAAGTATTTCAAAGGCAATTCTTCCTTATTTTTTTTTGTGGCTCTGAGACTGTTTCTCCTGTTTTCTTCACCCTTCTGTCTGTCTGCGATCATCCGTTCTCTGGGAAGGATTCATCGCTTTCTCAAGAAATCAGTTGGCATTCTTTAGATCTCCCTGAAAAGAAAAAAAAAATCCCCAACAGATGTGAATACACCTCCAGAGCTAATAAACCATCTCACAAAGCAGTAAGTGCATTTCTCTGTAGTGCATCTTGCACTTCTTACGGGCACATTAATTTCTCTCATGAAGTTAGGTAGCCTCAGGCACTGAATAACTCTCGCTCTGTGTTGCTTCGTATCTGTCCAGCACTCAGGCAGTGATGGGCTTTGAGAAATGGCCCAGGTGAGGCGTAAGGAACATCTTTGCATCTCCAGCTGGAGCAGCCGAATTTTGCTCCTGCGGCGGGTCTGCACGTCGGGCCCTTCCTTAGGCTCCCTCCCTGTTTGCTCAAGGCTGGGGCTGCCCAGCGGGGCATGAATGAGAGCTTCTCTTCCTGGCTGACTGCTGCTCCCCCTCCTTCTCCCACCTCCTTCCCAAACCTCCTCTCTCCTCCCAGCTCAGCCCCTCTCGCCTGTGCTCCTGAGCTCTGCCCCTCCGGCTGGAGCCACAGGTTTATCTGGAGGCGAGGAGTCTCTCCTTTGTAAGCTGAGACCCGGGAGGAGGAGGAGGGGTCTGCTGGACCCTGGAGGAGAAAAGGTTTAGCTGCCCAGGAGGAACGGAGAGGCAGAGCCTGGGCACCATGGCTGCATTCTCTGCTCTTGGGCTTCTCTTCCTATGCCAGCTGTTAGCCACAGCATCAGCTCAGGTAAGAAGCCTCATTTATGTCTTGTGCTCAAGAAGAGAAAAGTCCGTAAGGTGAAAAAGAGAGTGATCTGTGTATGTTATACCTGCAGGATGCAACGTGGCAATAGGCAGATTATTAGAGTCTAAAGTTTATTAACGATGTGCGTGTTGCTTGTGGTGTTACACGGAGTGCCTGGCAAGCACATCTGGCTTTGTACGTGCGCAGGTAGGCTTTTAGATCGCATCCTGCCATAGAAACTGCAGCTTTATGCTTTGTGTAGAAGTATTGCCTTCCCCTGCGGGACTGCAGTTACGGGAGAGCAAGCCTTGGGAAAGGTGAGACCTGTTGATGTAAGAGAAGGAGTTTTCTTTTACAGTGAAGTAATAGGTTGCCAGAGAGACTGATCTCCTGATCTGGGTCTTCATCTGAATCAGAATTTCTTACTCTTTCCTTCAATCGAGTTTCAAATTTTACACTTGCAAACCAGCATATTTAACCCTTGCTCACTTCAGATGTGAAGCTATATTAAGCTTCCCTTTATGGTGTTAATATTACTGCCTGGGGAAGTTACTCCTCAGTGAGGTTTTTCATTGTGTTAGTGAGGAATTTTGGCGGTCTGGCTTGGGAATTCAGAGCTGCCCTCGTCTGC